CATTTTAAGGATATTTTGGGGACATTTTGGGGGTGTTTTTGGGGCGGTTTTGGGGCGGTTTTGGGGCACTCACCGGGCGGGGGGTGAAGGGCGGCGGCACCTCCAGGCGCTCCAGGCGCTCCCAGTCGGTTCTGCGGAAGAAGGGGTGACCCCGAACCTCCTGCTCGCCCCCCGGCCCGGCCCCCAGCCTCTTCCCGGGGTGTTTGGTCAGGAACTGCCCAGGGAAAAGAAAACAAATCCAAAAATTCCCAACAAAACAAAAAAAAAAGCGAGGAAATCGGATCAGGAACGGCGAAACGGCGAAAAAAAGAGCAAAAAAGGGAAAAAAATGAATTTTTGGGGATTTTTGGGGGATTTTTTTCTGATTTATTGGGGATTTTGGGGGGATTTTTTCTGAATTTTGGGGGGATTTTTTTTATTTTTTGAGGGATTTTTTCTGAATTTTTGAGGATTTTGGGGGGTGATTTTTTCTGAATTTTTGGGGATTTTTTTCGGATTTTTTAGGGGGATTTTTTATTTTTGGGAGAATTTTTGGAGGACTTTTTTGGGAATTTATTTTTATTTTTGGAGGTTTGGTTTTTTTTTGAAGGATTTTTTTCCTGAATTTTTGGCGCATTTTTTTATTTTTGGGGGGATTTTTTTATTTTGGGGGGGATTTTTTCTGAATTTTTGGGCATTTTTGGTGGTGATTTTTTTTTATGAATTTTTGGGGATTTTTGTGGGTTTTTTAAAAATTTTTGGGGATTTTTGGGTGCAATTTATTCTGATTTTTAAGGGAATTTTGGGGGGATATTTTTTATTTTTTGGGGGAAATTTTTTCTGAATTTTTGGGGATTTTTTCTGAATTTCTTATAAGTTTTGGGGATTTTTGGGGGTGTTTTTTCCTGAATTTTTGGGCTTTTTTTTTCTGAATTTTTGGGCATTTTTGGTGGTTTTTTTTTCTGAATTTTTGGGCATTTTTGTGTTTTTTTTTTTCTGAATTTTTGGGCATTTTTGTGTTTTTTTTTTTTTTTTTTAACTTTTCCTGATACTTGGGTGCGATTTTTTCTGATTTTTTAGGGATTTTTGGGGGATTTTTTTTATTTTTGGGGGTTTTTGTGATATTTTTTCTGATTTATTGGGCATTTTTGGGGGCATTTTTTCTGAATTTCTGGAGATTTTGGGGGGTGATTTTTTCTGATTTTTTGGGCATTTTTTTCTGATTTTTTTGGGATTTTTGGGGGGATTTTTTTTTAATTTTTGAGGGATTTTTTTTTCTGAATTTTTGGGTGTTTTTTTTTTTAATTTTGGGGTTTTTTTTTTTAACTTTTCAGTGAATAATTTTAATTTTTTGGGGTTTTTTTTCCTGATTTTTTAGGGATTTTTAGGAGGATTTTTTTTATTTTTGAAGGGATTTTTTTCCTGAATTTTTGTGGGTTTTTTTTTTAACTTTTCAGTGGATAATTTTAATTTTTGGGGGGTTTTTTCCCCTCTCACCCCCTTGCAGATGGCCACGGCCTCGCGGCTCAGGGCTTTGGGGTAGGTCACCGTCTGCTCCAGGATGGACTGGAACAGCTCGTCCTCGTCCTCGCCGTCAAACGGGGGCTGCCACACAAAAAACACCCCAAAATACCCTGGAAAATTGGGGAAAATTTTGGGGGGAAATTGGGAAAAATTGGGGGAAATTGGGGAAAAATTCAGGAAAATTTGGAGGAAAATTTGGGAAAAATCACAGAATTTTTGAGAATATTTTGGGGGAAATTCTGGGAATTTTGGACTGAATTTTCATGAATTTTGATGGATTTTTATGTATATTTCCAGATTTTTCCCAATTTCTCCTGGAATTTTTTCCAGAATTTTCCCCTCCGAGGAATTCCAGGAATTTTCGGGAATATTTTGGGGGAAATTCTGGGAATTTTGGACTGAATTTTCATGAATTTTGATGGATTTTTATGTATATTTCCAGATTTTTCCCAATTTCTCCTGGATTTTTTTCCAGAATTTTCCCCTCTGAGGAATTCCTGGGATTTTTGGGAATATTTTGGGGGAATTCTTGGAATTTTGGATATTTTGGGCCGAATTTTCAAGAATTTCGATGGATTTTCCTCCATTTTCCTGGGAATTTTTCCAGATTTTTCCCAATTTTTCCTGGAATTTTTCCCAGAATTTTCCCCTCCGAGGAATTCCCGGGATTTCGGGGCCATTTTGGGTGGAATTCCGTGGATTTTGGCTCACTCACGCCGCGTGGGGCTCCTTGAACTTGCCGACCTGCTGGATGTGGTACATGAGGTCGCCGCCGGTGACGTACTCCATCACAAAGTAGAGCCGGTCCTGCCGCCCAGTTTGGACCAGTTTGGACCAGTTCACTCCCAGTCCCCTCCCAGTTCAGCCCAGTGCCCCAAAATCCCCAAATTTCCCCAAAATCCCCCAAAAATTCCAGCCCCAAATGAAGATTCCGCCACCAAAAAGGGCCAGAAATGGTGAAAGCTCATCCCAGTTCATCCCAGTTCATCCCAGTTTGGCCCAGTTCACTCCCAGTCCCCTCCCAGTGCTCCCAGTTTATCCCAGTTCATCCCAGTCCATCCCCTTCCATTGGCTTCCATTGGTTCCCATTGACTTCATTGACTCCCAGTAACTTCCAGTTGCTCCCAGTCCCTCCCAGTCCATCCCAGGCCCTCCCAGTCCATCCCAGGCCCTCCCAGTTCATCCCAGTCCATCCCAGTTCATCCCCTTCCATTGGCTCCCATTGGCTTCCATTGCCTCCCATTGACTTCCATTGACTTCACTGACTCCCAGTCCCTCCCAGTCCATCCCAGGCCCTCCCAGTCCATCCCAGGCCCTCCCAGTTCATCCCAGTCCATCCCAGTTCATCCCCTTCCATTGGCTCCCATTGGCTTCCATTGCCTCCCATTGACTTCCATTGACTTCACTGACTCCCAGTCCCTCCCAGTCCATCCCAGGCCCTCCCAGTTCATCCCAGTCCATCCCAGTTCATCCCCTTCCATTGGCTCCCATTGGCTTCCATTGCCTCCCATTGACTTCACTGACTCCCAGTCCATCCCAGTTCTTCCCAGTAACTCCCAGTTCATCCCATTCCCTCCCAGTCCATCCCAGTAACCCCCAGTCCATCCCAGTACCTCCTAGTCCCCTCCAATCCTCTCCCAGTCCCTCCCAGTCCATCCCAGTTCATCCCCTTCCATTGGTTCTCATTGGCGCCCATTGACTTCTCCCAGTCCCAGTAACTCCCAGTTCATCCCATTCCCTCCCAGTCCATCCCAGTAACCCCCAGTCCATCCCAGTACCTCCTAGTCCCCTCCAATCCTCTCCCAGTCCCTCCCAGTCCATCCCAGTTCATCCCCTTCCATTGGTTCTCATTGGCGCCCATTGACTTCATTGACTCCCAGTAACTCCCAGTACCTCCCAGTTCCTCCCAGTCCCTCCCAGTCCCTCCCAGTCCATCCCAGTTCATCCCCTTCCATTGGTTCTCATTGGCGCCCATTGACTTCATTGACTCCCAGTAACTCCCAGTAGCTTCCAGTTGCTCCCAGTCCCTCCCAGTTGCTCCCAGTCCATCCCAGTCCCCCCCTCCAATCCTCTCCCAGTCCCTCCCAGTTCATCCCCTTCCATTGGTTCCCATTGGCTCCCATTGACTTCACTGACTCCCATTGACTTCATTGACTCCCATTGACTTCATTGACTCCCAGTAACTCCCAGTCCATCCCAGTCCCTCCCAGTCCATCCCTTTCCATTGGTTCCCATTGGCTCCCATTGGTTCCCATTGGCTTCCATTGGCTCCCATTGACTTCACTGACTCCAGTTAACTCCCAGTAACTCCCAGTAAGTCCCAGTAAGTCCCAGTCCCTCCCAGTCGCTCCCAGTCGCTGCCGGAGTCTCACGGGGGTCTGGAAGGTGGAGTGCAGGTGTGTCAGGAAGTGGGGGCGGGGCCCCAGGGCCAGCACCCTCCTCTCCACCAGCGTGGAGGCGGCGTCGTCGTCCTGCACCACCACGTCCTTCTTCAGGATCTTGATGGCAAAGAGCTCGGCCGAGCCGCGCCGCTCCGCCAGCATCACCTGCGGAACGTTCCAGAATGTTCCAGAATTTTTGGGAATTTTTTGGGAATTTTTTTGGAATTTTTTGGAATTTTTTTCCGATTTTTTCTTGATTTTTTTTCAATTTTTGGCCATTTTTTAATGATTTTTTGGGTGGTTCTGGTGTTTTTTTTGCAGTGATTTAATGGTCTCGTTTGTGTCCCAGAAGATTTGGTAGTTTAGGAATTTTTT